ATCCTGTATTAAGTGTCAGCTGATAAATAATAATCTAAAAGATATTATTTAAAATCCCATTGCTTCCACACAGAACAGTGTTTTTCTGTCATTGGAGTTGTGCTCCTGTTTGCAATTTTGCCTGAGTGTGTTTGCCCACCATCCACAGCCACCCCAAGTTCCACAGCACATCCAGCTGGGACCACCAGCTCCTCTGGCTTGTGACACAGAATGTGAGCACAGGCTGAAGGAACAAAGGAGGCAGGACATGGAGCTTTTAAATCCAGTTTTCCCAATCCCAGAGACCACCCTCAGTCTTTTAATTTGGTATTTTACTTCTTTATTTAGTATTTTACTTCTTTATTTAGTCTTTTCCCATGTGAACTACTCTGTTCACAATTTGTATACCTGTGACTTCGTCCGTAAGAGTGATAATTGATTAATAAATAATTTATTAACAATTCCCTGACAAGAAAGGGACAGGATTCTCCTGGGGAAGTATACTTTCCTCATGTTTCTTTTAAAGATGTCAGATGTCTACCTTAATTGCACAGAATCAAAGCCAAACTCCATTGACGTCAATGCAGTTACTTGGGTTTTATTAATATCAGATAAATATAAAAACAGTTTCAAGCACAAATTCACAGAGAATAATAAAACACCCACACAAACCTCCAGTTGAGTTGTTCCTGGTGCTGCTGCTTCCCTCATTTGGAATGTATGGCTGTAGTGCCTGCGACTGTGCTGAGACCAGAGTACACCTTTGAATCGTCTCTTCTCCCCTTGAGAAAATAATGTGCAGAAAATGCCTCTAACACCACGGTAATGGGGTGAGATTAGCACCAGAATAAACAGCTCCAGACTCAGATAATATCAGGGACCTGAAAAGAGGAGTAGGCTCTGCAACCCCTTTCCCCTCCTTGCAGGTGCAGGACTGCCTGCGTTCAAGCTCCAGTGTGGTGCAGCTGTGTAACCTGGGAGCTGAGTGATGTGGAAGGACCGGTGTGACAAAGTCCTGAGAGAAAACATCTGGGGCCAAGGCAGCTGGGCACTGGGGCAGGGGCCCTTGTGAAGCCTGTGCACCCCCGTGGGCAGGGCTGTGCCCAGCCCTGTGCCCCCTGGTCTCAGCCTTGCCGGCTGCCTGGCTTCCCTCCAAACCTGTCCTGTCCCAGCTGATCTCTCAGCCAGCACTGGAAGCTAGTGCCATCTCATCCACAGGACACCCAGGACTGAATTTAGTCACAACAAATTACCTCAAAGAACCCTAACTATTGAGTAAGCAATGACTTGGAAGCACATGCAAGTAGAAAAACTGATGTGCAGAAAAGATGGTTTAGCATTCATTTGGTTTCCCTGACACTAATTACAACAGGAAGAAGTGTTCCTTCTGTTTGAGTGAATCTATTTCTTAGGTTCCCAACCCAAACTATCAAGATGCTTTTTGATTTTGCTCTGAAAAAAATTGAGGAGTTTTAGAATTTTACTGAATAAAAGTAGCACCACCATGCCCTTGATGGATGTCAGCTGCAGTAGCTCTAAGGGAGCTGTGAGATACCCTGGTTCTGGTGTGCACTAGGGAAGGAAGGAAGATCCTGGGAAAGCTTCTTGTCAGTGGCTCCAGAACATCTCCTCAGCAATTCCAGGTCAAGAGACAGATTATGACACCTCTGTGGCAGCAAGATGATCATTTACAAAATGAAAATGCCAGCAGCCTGTCAAGCTCGTAAGCCCAACAGCTCCAACTTTATAAACCTTAAGCTGGAATTTAACCATACAGTGTTTCACAGATAAGGCTTAAAAGAGCATAGTTTCATTGTTTTCAAGTTGTTGTTTTTGGTTGTTTGGTTTTTTTTGTTTTGGTTTTTTTTTTTTTTTTTGGGTTTTTTTTTTTTTTGGTCTCTACTTCTGGGTTTTCTGTTCCAGAACTTCACAGTTCAGTGGTGTTACTGAATGCCAAGGAGTCAATCCTCAGTAACAGGCCTCTGAGGCTCTTTGGGACTAATTAGTTTGAGAAGAAAATAGCTGCCAGAGTTTGGAAAGACAAATTGGGAGTCAGCTACTTTTGTTCCATCTCTCTTTGCCGTGTCCAGTCCCTCCTTTCACTGGAGCCCAGAGGTCCTGTGATCCTTATTACAACTTCGTAGCAGCTCTTAGATGAAAGGACATTTGAATGAAAGTTCATTACAGATCGCTACATTAACTACTTTTCGGACGTGCCTCTCCTTTTCAAACAGCAAGGTTCAAAACTTTCACAACTTGAAGACACCTGTGTGCTAAGCATTATTTATTGTCAACTTTTTAAACTCTGTGGTACATCTGGACAGCAACAAATCAACTGAGCTGTTTGACTTGGGTGGAGATCAGGATCTTTCCACGAGCCTCTTACCCGAAGGAGCAGGGCAGATCTTAGGGGGGAGGAATGACAGCCTTGTGGTAACGCCTCAGGCAAGTGGCCTCGCAGAGGTCACCTCTGGGGGAGCACCACATCACAGGTACACTGGCAAGCCACTACCACAGCAAGGTAAAACAAAAGCATTGGACATTTCTCTGCCTACTGCAATCCATTCAAATCACTTTTCCCATCTTTACTCCTTGCCTCACTACAAGCCCGAGCTGTGCACGCTCAGGAGCAAAGAGCACACTTTTATCTAACAAATGTCCAACCAGATCCAACTGAGGAGGCACTGGCCTCTAATGACAACTCATAGGTTTTAACGGATAAAACCTGGCAATTTTATTTCTTACGTGCACAACAACAGTCAGAATTTCCAACCCTGCTTGAAGCTGCTGAGCCCCAAGCAGAGCTGGCAGCTGAGCAGCTCCTCGTCATGCTGGATGAAGAGAAACCGCTGCCAGCAAAGCTCCCAGTCTCAGGCTCCTGCAAGGAGACGAGGGTTTGAAAAGCTGAGGCTGATGGACCCTGCCCAAGGGCAGCGTTCACACTGAGCTTTTCTAGCAGACACGGTCCAGCACCAAGTGAGGGGAATCGCCCAACGCCGTTTCCTTCCCGGGTGCCAGAAGTCTAACTCGGAAGCCTGGAGCAGGTTTTATCTGAACTTCAAGTCGCCTTTTGAAGATGTACTTGTTATTTTCATCAGATAGCAGAGGCAATACATCCAAAGACTCATGAAACTTTTAAGTCAGACTTCCTTCCCTAAAGAAATAGTCAACCAACACTCAATTTTTATGAGCTGGTGGAATCATTGGTTAATAATCTGAGACAGAAACAGCAATGTGAATGTGAAAACAGGGTCACAAGTGTAACTCAGCACCAGGAATTTCACAGTGGCAGCCTCAGCACTTCTAGAAGCCTCCATCCACCATGACTGAAATTAGGGTACCGCTTTGTGATACACTCACTCTGATCCATCTGTCTGTGATTACAGACAAGAACACTTCAATTCTCTACATGCTCCCACCATGTTTTACAGCAAATCTACCATCCTATAGCTTCGGTATGACATTCCATCACTTCACTGACCCTATGAAACACTGTACTGGGTAATTTATTTCCTAGCTTTCCTGCAGGAAGGAACAGGTATGTCTTGCTAATCTTTACCTCCTGAAGAAAAACCTAACACCCAGAGATTATCCCTACTGCTGGCAGACTGCAACTGCCACCAAGTCTGCCCTGAAATGGGACTGACCACCCCTGAAATGGTACTTCACTGGTGACACCAGTCAGAGCAGCCAACACCACAAACACCTGCTTCAGGCAGAAACCTTCTGGTCATGAGAGTAACACTTATCAGTGTGTGCTCACAACAGCTACACAAGGGAAGCATGTGCCTGCACCAGGAGGAACAGATGTCTTCCTGAGAGGGTATTAGTAATCCATCTTCCAGGCTCCCAAATATGCATGAAAACGGGCATTTTGGAAATACAAACCTGGTTCAAACCCAATGGAGAACAGATTTTCTTTTAGACAAAATAAGCCAAGAATAAACCTCTAAATTTAAAATTGTCTCTAAATTTAAAATTGTAGGTTTGTATTACAGCAATAAAAACCCACATAAAAGGGCACTTTGAAATGCTCCGTGGCTTTATTCAATTGTTCTTGTGCTGTTTGCCACAGCTGCTAGTGCCCAGTGACTCACTGCCTGGGCCACATGCAACACAGGACACTGCAGAACAGAACTGCAGCTCAAGGCACCCCTGCTGCAATTACCCAAACAGTCTCTGCTTTTATCCAAGTTCTGCCAGAACAACCTGACTGGAAAAAGCAGCTCACTGTGCACAGCAGCCTTGATCTCTCAAAACTTCTCATACTGAATCCAACAAAAAAACCCAAAACCGAAACCCACTCTTGATTTTCCTGCCAGGCAGCTGTGAAGGGCAAAAAAACCCCAACCCTTAACTCAAGCCTGGCCAAAACCTGTCACACACCATGTCATACCAGGTTCCTGATTTTGATGGACCAGGTTTTAATTTATCCTGCTTCTAAAGGAATCTGATTCCTCAACATTGGTATTTAAGACAGCCACTTCCAGACATAAGCAGGTGAACTTTGGGTACCTCTGTGCTCAGGGTGGCAGATCTCCTCCTCTGCTCCCTCCCTCTCCAAATGAGGCTGGAGCTGGACACTGCCTGGCCTGTGCACAGCTGGACCCATGGCAACAGCCAGCTTCTCAGCACACACCAACTGCAGCAGTCCCAGCTCCTGCTGCTTTAATCCTGGATTTGGAGCTGTTGAAAACCACAGGAAAGGAAAAAACCCCAGCCAAAACCCAACTCATGGATGATTAAAACAGAAGCTGCTTTTTTTAAAAAAAACCAAGCTTTCAAAGATCAGGATACAGACAGCTGTCCTGCTTTAAGAGGCTGTCAGCTGCACACTGTTGATTACCCAACATCTGCTTCTTGCCCAGGTTTCAAATCTCCACTGTTGGAACAGCATCTAGGGTTAAGGTGGGTTTTTTTTCTCTCATTCAAGAGATTGTCACTGTGTGATCAGCTTCGCAAATTTCATTGAGCTGCGTCAATACTTACTTGGAAAAGCAATAAGGGGGTTGAATCACAAATGAAGATTGACCAAAACCAAATCCTTTATTTCCACAACTGTATAAATGTGCTCCAAGTATGTGTCCAACACAAGTTAGAAAAACAAAATAGAACATGCCAGTTGCAAACTAGATCAGTTCACCGACGTGCTGACTCCTTGGTATTAGGCTTAGTTACACAAGACCAGTCACAGTAAAAAGATACATTTTAGAGTACAAAGTAGCAGGATGTTAAGCCATTTCAGCTTGTGCACATACAAGTCACACTTCTGGCAGAAAATGCAGAGAAGTTTGCATTACTATGCTGGAAGCTATGTTGCATCACTTTAAATGGCATCAATATCGATATCATCATCTTTATTGTTTGCAGGCTTCACAGTTTCAACTTTAGGTACACTGGCAGTTGTGGAGTACACCACCTGTGGAGACAAGACACTTCCTTCAGTGACAGCACATACTACCATTAAGCACTGGAATAATTCCACCACCAAACCACCCTCCTGACCATGGTCATGAACCCCTGCTGTGTAAGGCAGGGCTGTGCACATGCATCTGGAAGAAGCAGAATCTCCTACTCAGGAGCAGAATAATACAATGCTGGGAGGAGAACACCCAACCAAACCCTGTGTAAAAACACTCCCAAGCCACCGCCAGCTGGAGTGTAACCAACAGATTTTTACCTAGGCCTAAACTGTGAGGAAGATGTCAGTTATTCTTCCACCAGCTTATCTAACAAACACACACCCCCACTAACTCACCTACAACACGAGACAGGACGCTCGATAGCTCCTGTCAACCTTGCACTGCATGAGCTGCGACAGTGCTGTCACTGTAGAATGGTACAGTCTTGGGCTACCCAGGTGCAATTGCATCACAGTGATCTCATGCAGACACGTGACAACTAGCAACACTTAAAGCATTGTAAATGGAGTGTTCCTCTTGTTCCTGCACAGTCATACCCCAAGTCATCCGTGTCAGAGTGCACCAGCACAAGGTTACAAGACTTCAGCATGCAGGAACAGTGCAGCCTTGGAGCTGCTGACAGTAAACGAGCCTTTCCTACCTCTATGTTTTCATCTTCATCCTCTTCTTCATTACCGGAAGATTCTTCTTCAGCTTCCTTCAGCCATTTAATAAATGGTTCTGCTTTGACACGGATTTCTTTGGCAAGCTCCTTTGAAACATATTTCTTTGAGGCCTGAAAGACAGATACTTTGTGTGAACACTGAAGGCGTTTACACCAGATTGTACCCAAATACTGCCTAACTGGAACTCTAATCTCACCCACTGCCTTCCACAGCCCGTTTTTGTGAAGGAGGCTTCTTGCTGCACAAGCTACACCAGTATGGAGAAGCCAGAACAGTAGGCTACCTTCAGGCATTTAATTGCTGTAATACATTACATACTGCCCTTTACCTTTTCTGCCCAGCCAAGGATGACTTCTTCTTCCAGAAGATCTGCATCGTACATTTCCTTCAAAATATGTGGTATTTTTGAAATAAGCTGAGACTGATGCATAGCTACCACACACTCGAAGCCATGGAGAAGGTACCTCTGAGCTTTCTTGTTGTTGTGGCAGAACTAGAATTGTGATAAAAGCAAAAATGATGGAATGAGCTTTTTTACCCTCTCTCCAGACTGGATAGAGAGCAGAAGCAGCTCTACAAGATTGCAAAGTTCACAATGATTCATACTATCTCTTCCCAGCAGCTCCCCCTAGCTAAGGAGTTGAAAAATAAAACACTACTAAAAGTCCTTCCCCACAGTACCAAGCAGCTGCTACAAAACACTCCTAAGAGCTGTCACAATGAGTGCAAAGAGATGGCTTACACGAAGGAAGTGACGTCTGTATTTCCTGATTTGTTCACGAATCTTTTCGTCAAAAAGGACTTCAGTGAGAACAAGTGGGCCCATAGGCTTTACATCCAGTCTCTCTGCTTCTGCTACAATGTCTTTGTCAGAAGTATCGATGACACCTTCTTCCTTCTTTTTCTAGAGGGAAACAGGCAGAGAAACATTTTAATGCCACTTGAGGTCTGCATTAATGCTCCTAGCAATCTCCCCTTCCCCTACTGGTGCTGACAGAGCCAGTACTTTGCAGAAGCTTGAGCAAGTTGCTTTTAGTTTCCTTACAAACATTTTGCACAATTACAGCTGAGTGATTACATCAAGCCAACAACCAGAGGATAGTTACCTTTACAAAATCAAACAGTAAGTTGACTCTCTCTTCTGTAGTTCTTTCCAGGTCTTCACTAAGTGTGAGGTTCTTCGCATGGTCACTGATTTCATCCATTCTACGCCTCTGGGCTTCTTCTGTTGTGTCCTCACCCCAGTCATCATCATCCTCCTCCTCCTACAATACAAAACCAAGAGAGCCACACAATATTACTGCAGGCTTAGTATTACATGTGGATAGAAATTATAGACTTGAGAGCATCTTTATAAAACTACAGAAATGTTTATAGTGCAATAAAATGTTTATTTGCAAGTCAAAGATCATTGAAAAAGTGCAAACATATGAAGTAAGAAACGGAAGCTAAACCTAATTCTATAGCCCTCTGCAGGGCTACCTGAACTGCAGTTCAACCATTCTACCTAGTACACAGGAGACAGCCGAGGTGCCTGAAAAAGAGTGAAAAAGGATAGGCAGCTTTCACTGAGCAAGGTGTGCTCGTGCTGATGAGCTGATAAAGATGCTATAGAGGAAAATCCGGGACCCTTCTATTCCAGCACTAAGTTCTGGATACAATAAGACTTCTAGGTGCAATGCTGACCAGCAAGGAATGCCAGTGACTTCAGAGGTTTAAATCTGAGCAATACACCACACACCCTCATCTCCCCACCTTCCCTTCTACTTACCACAACCTGTGGAGGAGTAATCTCCTCTGGTGGTGGGGGTGGAAGTGTCTCATTGCTGGACACAGAACCATTCTCTTTGTCCTTGCCTTTTCTGTTCTTCTTCTCCTTTTCTTTCTTTCCTGTACCAGTGTCACCACTTTCTGCAAGTGAATTTTAATGTTTTGTTCTATGAACTAGAGCAAACTACAAAGTCCCTGCACCTCTGCCAAATCCCCAAGTGGGTTTGGATGCTTTCATTAGCTGCAAGTTACAGGTAGTACCCATCCCCAAACACACTCAGGGAAGATGCACATTTGGCGGGGAAGCCCCCAGCTGCAGTCTAAGTCCTGCTTGTCACCAAGATTGTCCAAGTCTATATAACAGGTGACCTCACAAACAGAGACCCCTCGAATAGGTTAGACTTTTCTACTCTAGCAAGCTTAAATTGCAGCAGGCAACTAAATGCTTACTACAGAGTGTTGCTTGCACAGGTTACAGTTTGTGTTTACTACAGCTTTTACTTCCTGCTCTGACATTTCACGCTGACCTAAAGGAACAACTGCCAAGAGCTACTGCTATCTACCTTCCTTCCTTTTAAGTTTTGTCCTGCACAGGCAAATCCAGCTTCTATGGAATAGCTCTACTTGGGAAGGACACGTTCTAAGGAGGAAAGACATTAGCAGCACAGCTCCTTCATCTTGGTCCGCCCAAACACACTCTAGGAGTATGCTGGTGCCTTTTTACATTTCAATTAGATGTGAGCTATTTATTTTTCTACTTCCATAATACCACTAATACAGAAGTTCTCTTTCTCCCAAGAAGTAAGGAAAGGCACTTACCAGGTGGGTTTTTGAGAATGAACGTGCAGAGTTTATGGTTTGTGTCAAGCATGCCTCGATAGCCACAGGCTTTGCAAGAGTTACCTATAGTTTGTTTCTTAGGATTGACATGCTGTAAAGAGAACAACCACAATTAATTTACTACTTACAGAACAACTGCATCAAAGCCTGATGTCTATGTTTTAAGTGAGAGGTTTAAATACTTTGTATCACCCTCTAAAGACAAAGTTTAGAAGTAGCAATTTATCCCAGAAGTTAGGAACTGTTAGAGATGTAAAACCTTCCCAAAGCATGCAAGAATGTGTACTTGATTTTCTATTCATAGTTACTGAAGTCATTTAACTTTGCACTGCTTTCACCAATGTCTGACACTGTTTCCATCGTGTCCTTGTTAATGCAGACAGAGCACTCACCAGATCAGTTTCAGGATTCTCACACTCAGGACAGAGAACAAATTTTTTAATGAATCCATCCAACATGTCTTGCAGCTTATTCGCCTCATGAGATCCATTGACAATGTAACGGTCATTCTTAACATCAAACTGGGTCTGTGCTCCCAGCTCACAACCAAAAAATTTGGTAGGATCTGTAAAGGAAGAATTATAGCCACTACCACATTCACATCTTTGTTGTGACACTTAAACAGCAAGGAAATAGGCTGCTGATTCTGTCTATTTATTATTTAACCCTGAGATAATCACATTTCTTTCTTACAAATCTTTAAGAGTACTAATGCTTTACTAGCTAATTAACACTACCGCTTCACACAAGAAAGCATTTAAAAACGCTGTGTCATTCCACACTACTACTTACACGTTGGAGGCCGATTAAGCGCCTTTGCAACGTCAACCATGTTGACTATAACTGTCTTGATTCCATTTCCTTTGCCCTCCACCTGAAGAAAACAAGTAATATTTTAAGGTTAAATCCTTGCAACAGACAGACCCAGCATGCATTTCCCATTTAACTACACCAGAATTCTGCTCAGAAGTGCATCTCCTCCCAAGACCCAACATGCACTTAGTGTGGACCGAAGGAGCAGACCCCCTCCCTGCCCTGAGCGGCCAAGCATTGCCACGACCTCTCTTTCCCCTCCTGGGAGAACACTCCCTGCTTCCAGCCGCTGCTTAGGAAGTTACCTTGGCAATCAGACGGGGCATTTTGTAGCGATAGAACTGATCTGAAACACTGCGGTTGACGTTGACAGACATTTTGCCTTATTAGTAGCTTTATCAATAAGATGAAGAGATCTTTGATTGCAGTTTTTTGGTATCTTCTGTCTGGAGAAGACGGGATGACATAAACGACTGCAAGAGTTCTCGGTCTCTGACATGAAAAAATTTTCGCCACTGAGGCTGTAAGGTTCTTGCTTGTACGCTATGTTTCCCCAATACAGGTACCAGTGGCTGCGCAACAGCTCTGCAAGTGTCAACACACAAAAAAAAGTTAAGTTTCTCTTAATGTACATCGATCCACTCTTGCTACAAAGCTATATAAGGGATGATATCTAGGGTGAGAAAAAGGGAAAAGTAAGTTTGTTATGCTATGGCTTTCTTCAGCCTATGGAACTGAAATCCATCCTTGGCTCGTACTGCTAAGGAACTTTTCTTTAACTGCACCACAAAGCTTTCCACCCTCTCTTACCACCCTAAAACCACTGAACAGCTTACAACTGCTTTTTTATGCACTTAACTCCAGCGGGAGTTCTGGGATCACTAAGGAAGGGCACACTCCTCGATTTATTATGCAGACCAGTGACTTGCACCATAAGGGTCACGTGGCATGGTTTCAGCCTGAAGGGCACAGGAAATCAGGAGAAAGATTTGGAAATCCATTTCAAATTCCACATCATAGCATGAACCTATCACAAACTGAAGTCTGCCAAAATGTTGCGAAATATAAGATGAAGCAGCAGCAATCTGTAGCCCACCATAGTTTCTACATGGCTTACCAGTTTTTGGATCGGAGTGGAAAAGAGTTGAAAATTACGTAATTCTCCCTCTCACTTATGGATTCTCATAGCAGCTTCTGTTGAGTTCTGACTTAACATTAAGCCTGATAAAGTCTGACAGAAGTTGCTTCACTGTAGAAAGCCTAGCAATGCAGAGGTACAGAGCAGTGCAGCAGCTTTTCCAGTTGATTTTTTCTTGGGGGAAAGCGAGGAGGGGGAGGAAGGGGAAGGAGGATGAATCCTATTATTAAAGTTGCCTTGAGCAGTATTTATATATTTAAATTAACACGTGCGTCTATAATCAGATCTAGGAGTACTTAAGCCACAATTGGATGACTACACAGGCAACCCTGACTACAGAGCATGGCTATTCTGACGCGTCATCATGTTGTTAGCGTTAATGACAGAAGCGTTGACACATTAAAAAAGCCTTCTTAGCATTTATGCGGAAGAGCGTGCCTATGGTGCAACTCGATCCGAGTCCCTCTGGTCACGTTTACAACTTCTTTACACGATAGGAACACAGATCTCTACGCGCCTCGTGTTCTACATTAACCCCGATACGATTTTACCCTTCCTCGGCAAAAAGCACACGGCAGAGTCCGTTTAAAACACACCATTTCCCTCCCCAGGATGTCTAAAAAGAGCCACAGCGTAACCTGACCACGTGTTTGAAGAAGTGCTGAGGAAGCAGCTCTCTCTCGGTGACCGCGTTCCCAGAAGGAGCGTACAGTTTTTGCCTCCTTCCAGAGTGCAGCATTTGTCTGCTGCAGGCTGAAGCTCCCTCTCCTGGTCCCTACGACACCTCATCCCAAGCACCACCCCCCCACATGCCGTACTCGGAGGAAAGAGCGGGAAGGCACACCGACTCCGTGCCGCACAGCGCCGCGTCCCCGCCCCGCTCGCGGTGAGTCAGAAATGCAGCAATTAAGCACTGAGTCAGCGCTGGGAGCCACGGGGGAGTCACCTCCGGCCGCGCATGCGCCGAAAAAAAAAAAAAAAAAAAAAAAAGAGAAAGCCTCGGCCACCCAAAAAGCAAACAATAACCCCACAGCTGACAGTCTACTGCTTTTAGAGTTGAATTTTGTTGTGCGTTTTTACATTGTTTGTTCCCCCGGCCCCCTCCCCCGCCCCGCACTGCTTGTCTTCCCCCCTCCCGTTAAAGTCCCGGACGCTTCGTTACACAAAACCTCTGCAAATATCCACCGTTCACCGACAGCCTGAGGCCCCGGCCCAGCACAAACCGCCCGCCCCCCCACCTCCACCGTCCTCACCCGCCCTAGCTCACTATTAGCACTCACCGTTTTCGTCCAATAAAGACATAAACCCAACGCTGCTCGCCCCGGGCTGCGACGAAGCCGATTGTGAGAGGAGAACAGGGCCGAGGGGGCGCTTATATCCAGACGGAGAGGGAGGCGGAGGCGGACGCCGCAGCCTCCGGGTCCCGGCGTCCTGGGGCGGGCGGTATCACCAGGGAGAGCGGTGCCGGGCTATCTGCGGGCAAGACACAATCAGGAGCATCGTTAGCGGCGGCACCTGTGAGGGAGAGGGAAGAGGAGGGGGGAGAAGAGGGAAGGGGGGAGGGAGAGGCGGCGAGAGGCGCGCAGGAGGGGCCGGCGGACGGGACCCGGCAATGGCTGCCCCGTACTCACCTCTAGAATGTTCTCGCTCCGACTGAACAACGCCAGAGCTGGGATCAATCAGCCAGTGGTGCGCCCCGCCCCCCGCCAGCGCCATTGGCTCACCGCTCGCCTCGCTGCGAAGCTATTGGCTAAAACCTCTCCCGTCCCCTCGTCTATTGGTGAAAGCCGCTATCAATCAAGGCTTTGCCTCCCTCCCCCGTGCCCTCCCCCTCGCCAGTGCCCCAAAGGACATCGCGTCTACAGCGACCGAGTCTCGCGAGAGAGCGCGGGGCGGGGGGGCCGAGGCCGGACCGGTGCGGCGGGGCCGGGGCTGAGGGGGCTCCCGGGGCCTGAGGGAGTTCCCAGCTTCCCCCGGCCCCTCCGTCCTGCCCGGTGTGCCCAGACTCTGCCCCGGGGGTGAGGGGGGCGAGCTACTCCCTGGAGGGCAGTGACCCAGTGCTTGACATCTCAGCAACTATGTTACAAGTAATAATACAAAGAATTTAAAGCAATTACGTTGCTGAATAAGTTGTGTTTTTCCTGCACAGCCGGCTTTCGGAGTGTGGGGAAGAGCCTGTTATTTAACTCCAGTGTCATAAAGGCTCAGCGTTGGGTGGCTCTGGGTGCCTGGGCTGCCTTACAAAGGATGAGCAAGTGTCATATGCAGCTACTCTGTTCTTAGTGGAAAATGTTGCCAGCCCTATGCAGCCGAATTGGGACCCTGAATGAAATGCATGTCTCGATTTATTTTCACGTAAAAAGCAGGAAACTTGCATCCTTTCTTCCCTGTTTCTTGTTCTTTCCCAACGTCTTCCATCTGCACTCCTCCAGTATCACGGGAGTTATATGCTTTGGGTATTTTAGAGTCAATAATGCTCAAGTGGCAAAGAATTTTTTCCTGGCTCTGTGAATTGAGTGGGCACCCAGCTCTATTGCCCCTATAAACACTCCCCAGCAGAGCAATGCTCCTCAGCTCCTGTCACTGTCTTACTCAGTAATGTTGTAAAGCTTCTTGATGGCTCTGTGGGAGTATAGAGGAAAAGAGAGCGAGCGACAATAAAACTAATAGTGACATTAAATGATGTTACATACTCTAAATCTCTTCCTGCCTTGATGTACATGTTGAACATTTTTGGTCTGATATGCAGAAGAACTGTGCACAGGAAGGTGGCTGATAAATGATGTTTTCTTAGAAGTCAGGGAAGCAGGACTACAGCCACTTCCAGAAGCACACAGTGACAATAAAAAAGCTTGTTTCCTCAGCTGGAGCAACCAGAGAAAAATGTGCACATCTTTCCATCAAAACTCTCAATGTGGCAGCTGCCCTTGCTACATGTCTCCTTTCAGTATGTGGAATAGCTGGTCGTTCCAGCCAGGACACTCTCCTGTAAAACATCATGGAATGGTTTGGGTTGGAAGAGACCTTAAAGGTCATCTAGTTCTAACCCCTCACCCTGGGCACGGACACCTTCCACCAGATCAGCCACATCCAACCTGGCCTTGGACACTCCCAGGGACGGAGGGTCCGTCATGTAAGTTTGTCTTGGACTTCACTATCAGCATTTGAAAAAGGTAAAAATTCTTCAGGGTATGTTAAATGCCTCTTTGATAAATGCATGACAACACTGTCTGAAATGAAAGAAAGTGTTAGGGCAAAATAAGGAAGCATCTCCAAAGTATGTGAGGCTTGGCAGTTACCATGAGGGGAAAAAAGTCATAAAAAAGTGTGAGGCAAGAAAAGCTCAGCAGAAAATCCTTTGCCGTGAAACTATGTGGCACATATAACTTGCTAAATGCCTCCTGTCTGTGGCTTTGGCTCGGTATTACAACACCTAGGGGGTTAATAAATTACAAGTGTTAAAGTATACTGTTGCCAACACTACTTAGTGAGCTGCTGGGAAAGAGACCCTGGATTTGGTACTGTTTGACATTATGAACAGACCTGAACTCTTACAATTAATAGCATAAAGAAAGATAATTTTTAAATATAGTCTATAAACGGACAAAAGTTAAAGAGGTACCTTTTAAGATGATGTTTGTTCTGCAAAAAGCAGGTCTCATCCAGGTGAAGTCACCTGACATTCTCCTGGATTATGCAAATCAGACTAAAATTGTGGATTATTGACTTCATGGTGCCTAGTTGTTGATTTTTTCCTCAGTAGAAAATTCCTTAACATTAAACGTTGGATTCTGAATATTTTTACTGAATCTTAATATTTACAGTTTGTTCATTTTAATATTTCATGGTATGGACAAGACAGAAAAATATTTTCTCTTCTCCCATTTAAAAATGTCACAGTTTCATGAATCCTGAAGTTCATAGTTCACATTACTTGTGTGACCTTCAAAATACACACTACTTGTGTACTTTGCATTTTATTGACAGAAACTATGCAGGTTTTATACATAATTTTGTAGATACGACATTTTAATCTACATTAGTAAGCCAGGTTTTGCAAATGGTTTAATGTCTAAGAATAGAAAATTTTCCACAGTTGAATTTAGAGTGCATTTCCTTATCACAGAAATGTATTATTATTGCTGAGTTCAGCCTTGAACAAACCAAGTTTGTTCCATGTTGCCTTAGCTGGTTTTTATTAGAAATAACCGAGAGTCAATGACTGTGACAATGCAGCAAAATCAAAACTCTGTTGAAATTCTTAACATATTTAAAATCTTCAGAATTAGGTTTGTAATCTGAACAGTTACCATGTGTCCTTTTAATCCCTGATTGCCAGCTTGATGTCCTTCCATGGTTTATTCAGCGAGTTTGTCCTCTCAGTGGCGCGGCTGGCTGCAAACATAACCCTAATTCAACACGCTCCTGGTAACCTTGGCCTTGAAGGATGTTTTGTCTCCCAGTGGCTGGGTCAGAGCTCTTTTTTCCTCCAGTGCAGGCAGGAGCATTAGCACCTGAGTAAGGGATTCCTCCTCGTGCCATCTTCACGGCTTTGGCTGTAATTTCAGGAGATGGAAGGAGGGCCAAGCTCATCTATGGTTACGTGGAATAGCAATAGCCTTTCTTCCTCCTATCTTGGCAACGTGTAGAGAAAGTTTAATTATTTACATGTCAGGTTGGAATAGGTAACCTTTAGGGAAGTGTGGGTCCGAAATCCATCGGGATTGACACTAGACATTGATCAGTTACAAGGGCAGAGGTTAATTCTGGTTTTACTGTTCAGGAGCTTCAGAGTCATTTCTGCCTGGCACCTCAGTGGTCATCTTGGGGAGGTTCACTTTGCGAAATGCTTTTCTTTCCATGCTCTGTAGCACCATCATTCCTGTTAGCTATTTTTAGTAGCTCAGGAATCAGTAAACAGAGAAAAACATGAGAGCAAGTGTGTGATGTTAGACATACATATAGACATTATTTATGGCAGTTACTTTTGTTTCTTCTATTACTATGCAGAAATGCTAAAATCTCCCAGCTAGTGTTTGAGTCTGAGTGCTCTGAAAGGGCTCAGTGTCATCTGACAGCATGAGCTCTGCCTCAGATCTGGTCTTGTCACCAGTGAGGTTCCCTGTACACTCCCTCTTTCTCTTCCAGTGTATATCTGCCTATACAAGGCAGTCACCACAGCAAGGAGAGGCAAACAGCTTCTCTGCAGAATATAAACGAGTGTTTGATAGCAGTGAAGTCCCTGCCTTGGAAACCTCTCTTTTCTCTGTGTGCCTCAGCAGTAAGTGGAATGCTGGTGACAGGAGTCAGGGAAGCCAGGCTTTCTCAGTTTGTCTAGGTAGCAGCTTTGACTATGGGCCTAATGGCAGCCACTACCATTATCCAACAGTTGCATGCCTGTGGTTGGCAAATCTGCCTGCTACATTTATATAGTAGCTGAAAGAAGTGGATGTGGAAGATAAGGAGTCTCTGGGAATACAGCTTCCAGCGGAGAACATGCTGTCAAAGCTGCCTGGCTGTTCATAATGCCCATTAGTAACCATTGTATTTACATTTCCCTGCTTCTTGTCATAGCCTGGCTACAGACACAAAGATCTGCCTGTGTGTTAAGTTAAATCTCTCTTCCAGTACCATTTTAGCAACCTGCACTTCTATTTCGTTAAAGGAATTGCTCAGGCCCTCTGCAGCTGTTGTGCTTTGCCAACAGATCCACAGATTAATCTCCCTTCATCCTTTCTCTTTGGCTTCTGATGATCTGGCAACCAGTACTGTGATTATCACTATAGATTTTCCAGCAGATTTAATTCTAAGTAGTAAAAAAGAGTAATGAGTACTTAGAGTTACCTTTTGGCTTTCTACTTTTCCAAAGGGAAATGTATGGTAGCCCCTGGTATTGAGAGCCTACCTCCAAATCTCCTCCCAGTCTGGGGACACCCTGAACATCTCAAGTGCTCTCACAGCTCTTCTCTTGTGAGCCAAAAGATCTTGTTTCTAGGGGTCTGCACTGCTGGGTGCAGCAAGTTTTGCTCATTTCTTCTGCCCGTCTGAGCATGGAGGAATTTCTTGCTGTAGAACAATACAGGGGCATTGCTGGGAGAGCTGAGCTTTGGAGACAGTACTGAGGCCCACGTAGGAATTAAGTTTGTGCTTCTGCTGGCAGATCTATGAAGAGGATAAGGCATCCCAGATGCTTGGGCTGAATAGAAAGGAAAAGCCAGTTTTGAAGGCAAAGGAAAATTTTGTGTTCTCCAAAACAAAACCTTTGAAGGTGTTGCCTGGCTGGTACTGTGCATTTGGAAACCGACAGACACATCACAGAAAATATTTTTTTCCTCCTAAGTCTGACTTTAAATTCTAAGAGTTGGCTCTCTTGCAACATTGAAGGTATTTTTCAGGGAACTACATGTTCTAGAGGATAATGTTGAATTTGTACATCATGGTTGAGAATTTGCTGCTTGTTTGGTACGTTTAACCAGCAGCTTGATTACAGCTGGTGCCATCTTCTTAATAAAAACACAGGGATTACCTTTTGTAATGAAGCAAATAATACATGACTGCCATACTGTGCTGAAGGCTTTGAATGCTTTGGTGGTTTGCAGCTCAAATATTTATATTACTAAAATAAATTGTTTGCCAAACTACAAAACAAAGCAGGGGGAGTGGTACTTAAATAGGAAAATAGAGGCAAAATCTTTGTCCTATGGTTTGCATACACCAAGTGTTATGTATGCTTGGGGTATTACACAGACTAGC